CAGGAAGATCTTCCGACTGATGATTTACTCATTAAGTGAGTGCAATGGCCGATGCTATGCCTATCCCAAGCCAGGAGACTCTTCCGGGTCTCCCACGTGGGTGCAGGGTCTCAAAGCTTTGGGCCATCCTGCACTGCTTTCCCAGGCCACAGGCAGGGAGCAGGAAGGGAAGTGGGGCTCCCAGGATAGAACCAGCGCCCATATGGGATCCCGGGCGTGTGAGGCAAGGACCTTAACCACTTGCGCCACCGCACCGGGCCCTAGGTCAGAATTTTTAACTATAGATTTTTCACTTCTCTCTTCTTTTTTTTGGGAGATACGTTCTTTTTAAAGTTTTTGCAAATAATTTTTAGTACATAAATGACTTGTGTGCACCTTAAGTTTGTGATGATAAGCAAAGCAAATCCCTTTTGGAAATCCCCTTATCTGTAAGGGGGGAGAGAGTTGTATTATTGGGTCACATGATGATGGAGGTGAACAAGTCCCAAGATAGTCAGGGTGAGGCAGCCAGCTAGTTAAGTTTGTTTTGGGTGATGCTGAGCCTGAGGACCAGGGCTGCTGATTGTATAGTAGTCTGAAAGACAGCAGGGCAGTCTATCCATGACCAAATGTAGCGAAACAGCTGATGGTATAGTGGAAGGCAGGTGGGCAGGAGGCAGTCTGGTACGCTTCAGAGAAGAGCAGCTTCTCATTGCATTAACATCTTAAACTGGTGAGTCGAGGCCCACCCACACTAGAGAGGACTAACTTTAACCTTGGAATATGTCAACCAAGGAACTTCTGGGGAGACACTCTTACACTCTTATCTTGGATCAGACATCTGGGCATCCTGAGTCGACACAGAATGAACCATCACAGGAGGTGTGCCCAGTTTTGAGGTAAATGATCAAGGATTTCCCTTTTTACCTTATTGATGTTAAAAAGCCTGTGAAAGACAAACTGAAGCGAGGCTGATCTTGCATGTGCTCGTCCACTTCTCAGTGTCCAAAACAGCTGGATCTGGGTTAGAGTGAAGCTGGGAGCAGCTCCATCTGGGTCTCCCACGTGGGGAGCAGGGGCCCACATACACCTGCTGTCTGCCAAAATGGATGTGAGGAGTCTGCTAGATGGGGATGGGACACAGGCCTGTCCAGTGGGCTGGAGACCTCCTGAGCAGTGACTTGACATGTGGGAGAAAAAGCATGTTGTGTGAGTGGACCCTTGCTATGGAACCTGGAACCAAAATTCTGGTTCTGGCACCTCTTAGAATATGGAGAATCCTATTGCTTAGTTTATTTGAAAGAATTGAAGAGAGAGAGAGAGAGAGAGAGAGAGCTATCTGCCTGTTCTCTTCTCAGATGATCAAAATGGCCAGCACTGGACTGGAACCTGGAGCTTCACCCTGGGCTCCCGCATAGCCTTCAGGGCCACAGGCACTTGGGCCATGTGGCCTCTGCAGGTGCATTTCGTAGGAACCTGGGTCTGAAATGGACTGGCTGGCAGGTAGAAATCACAGGTGCCCGAGTAACCCGCTGTATCACAGAGCAAGCCCCAGGTGTCAACTTCAGGGAAGGGAGAAGAAATGCAGATATCCTTGCTGGCTTTGACTTTATTCTACAAATAGGGAACAACTTCTATCCAAATTACACAGCCTTGGTCTGAAAATCCAAATCTGAAATGCTCTCATAATCGAAGGTTCTTGAGCCCTGACACTTCCCTAAGTTCTATGTAAACATTCCAGAACCAGAAAAACGCCCCAACCTCAGTGCTCAATCCAAGTAGTTTGAATAAGGGACACTCAGCCTTTACAACAGTCATTTTACTACCTTTTCCTATCACAATGAACATGTTAAATTGATACCTCTTCATTTTTTTTTTCAAATGCTTGAAAGATGGAGTGACAGAGAGCTTGCATCTACTGGTTCAGTCCCCCGATTAGCTACAGCAGCCATTGCCGAGTTGGACTAATGCCAAGAGCCTGTAACTCCTTGGATGACTCACGTGGGTGACAGGGACCCGAGTACCTGGGCCATCTTCTATTACTATCCCTGGGTCATTAGCAGAACAGCTGGTATGCTGTCCTGAAGCTTTGGTTATGTCATGGGTGAGACTTCCTTAGGGTACCACATTTGTTCATTGTATTTGGCTTGCCAACCTTCTGCTTTCCCCTCCCCTTTGGGATCAGCCAGCCCTGGGGTCGGTCTTGGTTGTGATAGAAAGATGAGGCTTGTATTTGGGGAAGATGGATATGTCAGTATTCAACTTATTCTGGGTGAGTCTAATTTTTGATTGTGAATGTAGGATTAACTGGTTTAGAGAATAACTCGTCCTCCCCGCTTAAAAAAAAAAAACTGCCCCAGTTTTTACACGACTGTTATATTTCACACTGAGCAGGGGAAAAAAACTCTTCACTGTTCCCTTTTGAGAAAAGATGGGCCCAGCAGTGAGGCATGGTGAATGAAGCTGCTGCGTCTGGTGCTGTCACGCCCTGTGGACACCAGCTTGAGACATGGGTGCTTTGCTTGTGATCTAGCTTCCTGCTAATGTGAGTGGTAAAGCAGCAGAGGACAGTCCAAGTCCTTCCACTGCACCCACGTGTGAGACTTGGAAGAAACTTCTGGCTCTGGATTTCAGACTTGGTCCTACTTCGGTCATTACAGCCATTTGGGGAATGAACCAGAGGATGAAAGTCTTGACTTGTGTGTCTCTTGTTAACTCTGCTCTTCAAATTAATTTTTAAGTGAGACATTAAAACAGTGACAGTTCAGTCACCTCCTGCAAATAATGTTTAAAATGATTTATTTGATAGGCAGAAAGAAAGAGGGTGAAATAGCATGTTCTTCCATTCATTGGGTCACTGCTACAACAGGGCTAGGTCAGGTTGAAGCCAAAAGCCAGTGGATTCACCAGGCCTCCACCATCAGTGTAGAGTGCCAAGCATTGCAGCTGCCTGCCACTGCTTTCTTTGGTGCGTTAGCAGGCAACTGGATCAGAAGTAGATTATCTGAGACTTGAACGAGCACCCATATAGAACGCAAGCATTGCATGTGGTGGCTTAAGCTGCCTGCCAAGGTGCTGGTCCCTCAAGTGGTATTTGATTACATGCATCGTTAGCAGTTGAGCCTCACAGTAACAGTGTATGATAGGACTACCCTCCTGCTCTATAGATGAGGAAGTTGAGGCTGAGGGAGGGTGGGATTTCCCCAAAGCTGCATGGACTTGAGACCTGTCACCTGCAGACCTGAGACTTGACCCTGTTACAAAAGCCCCATGTCCACAGCACTAACACAAGGCAAGCCTGTCTGTGACATGGAAGAGTGGCTTGTTTGCCAAGTGCAGAATAGGAATGCGAACAGCAGCTACTTAGATACTGACTCCTCTGAGGTTGTCACGTGTCCTACTGCTTAAGTGATGAAGGTTCAGTTTGGGTGTGCGTCTCTGGTTGGTCAGCAGGATGGATGGATAGGTGCTTTTGTGTTCATTGTAGGAATTTTGCTAAAGGTAAGCTCGGCTTCAATCACTCTGAGGCCTGTGCCCAGGTTCAAGGGTATATGGGTTCCATCTTACCAGACTGTTATCTACAGAAGAGAGAAATGAACTCATAAGGCTTGTGACCTTGCACCACTCTGTCTGTCCTGTGACTGCTGTTAGGAACATGATGTACTCTAAACATGAAAGCAGGGTGAAGGAGCTTGACACTAAGGCAGGGGCCTGGGGTAGCAGGGCCTTTTAGCTTCCAGTATGTTCCAGGCACTCACTTTCAACCCCGGTGCCATCGGATGCCCACCCAAGGCCAGAAGCCTCTTGCTTATGCTTTGCCACCTCATCAGGACTCCCAATTTGTACGGCACATTTCTAAATGCAAGAAACCTGGGAGTGGTAAGCAGCACTGCTCAAAATTATGTTGTCTTTCCTCTCTCACAATCATTTTGCCTTTTTCCCTCCCAAGGCTCAGTAGGAATGGACAGAGTCCTAGATTTTCTCAGACAAATGAGCCCAGAGGCTGAAGAGCATGACCTCGAAGAGCTGAATAAGACCCTTGACCCTGAAGAGAGAGACTCCAGTGTGGACCTGGAGGCATTCCAGACAGTTGTCAAAGAGTGGATGCCTCGCTACCAGAGCACATGGTAATGGGAGGGCCAGCTGGGCTTTCCTGCAGATCTGAGCAGGCCTCACAGTCCTTGCTCCTCACAATCTGCTTGGTAGACAGGTGTGATGTGATCGGGGGTTTTTCCCACACTTCCACAGTTTCAGCATCTCATAAATGATGTTAGACCTGCTCAATGCGCCCCCCTTCCCTGGCCATGATGCTTTGGGTGTAGGGTAATGCCTGACCTTGATCTTCTAATAAGTTCTCAGGAGTGATTGATGTTTCTGCTGATGGGGTAGGCACACTTTGGGAGCTACTGCTCTAATATTCAAATTCTGGTGCCATTCATCTATTGTGATTGGAAGGGTGTGCATATTTTCCCAAAGGATTGAGCTGGCACAGGAGTTGAGTCAAATATTGACTATTCTTTGTATCCATGCATCTAAATCTGGGAAGGAAGCTTCCTGGAAGACCAGGGAACTAGGCAGTGAGAGGGATTGGTATATCTCCCTGAAATACAGGAGCCTAGGGAGGAGGAAGACAGTGAAAAAACAAGGTGAGCCATGATTTTGGGAACCCGGGTGGTGACTGGACTGGGAAGGTGTATTGTCCCTTTCAGGAGGCCACATTTCAATGCTTCCCGGTCAGCCACCAACGTCTGCTGTCAGCCAATGCCCACTAGGGATTTGCTGAGAGAAAAGTTGCAACCCAATGGAGACAACACTTGTTAGAGCTGTGATAGGGTTAACATGGAGAGCTGATATCAGAAAACAGGATTGTAGTGTTTGCCACACACAGGCCAATGAAAATAGCGATGTAAGTATAGAAATATGGGAGCAGGCATTTGGTGTGGTGGTTAAAACCCCAGTTAGCCGCACACCTACTGTAGCACAGCGGCTGGGCTATGAGTCCCGGGTAACTTCCTGATGCCAGCTTCCATCTAATGTGTGTCGGGCAGGCAGCAGGAGAGGGCTCAAGTATGTGGCTCCCTGCCGCCAACGTAGGGGATGCAGGATGAGTGCCTGGCCCAGCCCAGCCCAGCCCTTGCTGGTGAGGGCATGTGAGGGCAACACTGGCAATGAAAAATTTCTCTATCTCCTCTTAGCTTCTCAACCAAAATAAGTAAAAGAATGAGTAATGTTAAAAATATACAATTTTACTAGTAATGAAAAAAATGCAAGTAAAGAAAAAATACCCTTTCTGCCCATCAGTTAGATTATGAATTATCTGATTGTACAAATCTGGAGAGCTGTGTGGTTACATAAGAACAGGAAGCTAAGGATTCAATGTTTAGAAAGCTTGAATAGTAAAACTTCAACCCCAGTATTGACATACTGGTTGGGAGCTTAGTACCTTCATTCAGACCTAGAATTGTCTAGATATGCACGGCAGCTTTTCCAGACCAGGAGCACAACTTTCAGCTTAAGCATCGTGTGTCTGGAACCTCAGGTGATCACTGAGGTCACACATAAGAGTGCTAATTTGTTAAATCCCCTAGAGTCACTGTGTACACTGACTTCCCATGCAGGACCGAATGTTCAGGGTCATAGTAACATTATTAGTACACCTTGCTGTATTTTAGTATAAAGATTTATCATCTCAGTTTTGATTATGTTTGAATATTTAACTCTTTTGCTCTAAGAAGTCAGCTTGCATTTACCTGTCCTGTGATGGGCTTATATCCTGATGCTGTATGCTAATCCTTTCATTCTTACTGTGCTTTCTGATTGATCTAGGTTAGCAATTTTATGCAGCTCAGAAGTTTCATGTGTTTCATTGAGCTTATTGAGTATGTTCCAAATTTCGAGACTTAAAGAATTTAATTTAGACAGATATAAATCTAGTCCATAGTCTTAAATTAATGTTCACTCTGACAAAAGTTGAAACCTAACAATTCTTTTACATCTAAGTTCTGAAGCTCAAATATTCAAACTGCTAATTGAATTCACAACATGCTAGGCTGGGAAGAGTTATAACTATGTTATGTTTTGCTATTTAGACTTCAACACAGAGAAACTTTTCAAGTGCCAGGATGTACATCAAACACCTGATGACTTCTGCCTTCTATCAGGAACCAGAAGATGGACCCCCTACAGCTGCTGTTACCCAATGGCGCCCCCTCTCAGCAGGAAGTAGCTAAGAGCAGATGACGATGCCCCTTCTCCCCAAAAACAGTTGGGGTTCATTTCTGTTTGGAAATGTAGGAGTCAGATGGGATGATAGGCAGTTAGGGTCTCTGGTTCCTGATAAAACTGTTTCGTATATATGTAACATCTTAGCACTATGAGATTCTGGAATGTTAGTATTTTCAACAATACTTGTACATTGTTAAGTATGTCTTCTTGAATTTCACCAGTCAGCTGCTCCCCAATATACCATCATATATGTGTCACCCCAGTATAAGTTCACAATATTTTGGCCAGAGTGATAAATATTAATCAATACCTCTGGGGACAATGGTCTAACGCCTTCTTAAATTTCACCAGTCAATTAGCCACCAGTATAATGAAAGTAAATGAGACCCCAGTTCTACCCATGTCGGGGAAAGGTATTCTAAATGCCATTAAACTGGCAGCTTGCATGTTCAAGAAATGCAGCGAGGTTATGGCCTTAAAAACCTTGATGGTTGCTGCAATGGCTCAGGCTCCCCAAGTGGTTACCCCCCACATCGTGCCCTGCTGCTCCAGTCTTCAAAGAGGCTCATCTAATATAATGAGGCATGGCCTTTCCCGGGTAAGCATTTAGCCATGACAGGCATCTTTCTGATACCCCGCCAACCTAAGACAGGGAGCCCTGGATGACTGGAAGGGCTGCCCAGAGACGGGTAAGAGTTGAGGGTCCCTCAGAATGAACCTAAGACAGGCAATGCTTATCTTGCCTCAAGGACCTTTTTCTTTTCGCCACTTTCATTGATATATAGAAAAGAGGGGGAGATGTCAGGAGCCGTGTACTGTAGCCACACATTTTGAATAAAGAACTATGGGCCAGTGGAAAATCCCCGGCTAGCTAGATGCTTGGGAAAGAAGTTATGAAACTAATCACACACTTAGCTTCAATTGTTTCTAGCAACTCTTTTAGAATGTGATTTATGCTGTACCTGCCAACATCATGTTACTGATTACCTATGCTATTGTTGATATGCTGCTTACTATGGTTGATATGGTGGCTGCTCAAGAACAATGGGTCTGGAGACCATGGCTTGTGACCTAGTTTCTCCTTTCCTCCCTGAGCCTTAGTTACTGAAGAATATAAAAACCCTCAACTAAAATCAATAGACTGACAGCTTGATCAGACATCCTGTCTGGCTGTCCATTCTTTGTGTCTCTTGTCCCCCAATCTCTCCTAGGGGGTTGCGACCCCCGTTGACTGTCCTGCTGGATGGGACAAGAAAATGCTTTTCCACACAGATTACATTGATAAGGTTTTTTCCTCATGCTGATTCTCTGAAGCTCACACGGAAGAATTATCTTCTCCCAGCTGAAACCTTTCTCTTTCCCCTTGTGTTCACTGGAATGCTGACATATGCGGATCTTGTCAAGCTGACTGAGATTTTCCCCACTCTCGACGTTGTTCTCAGGGACATTAGATGATTGCTTTTTCTCAAATGGCATTTCAACAGGTTTCCTGCGGGAAAACGGGGATTTGAAATAATAAACTTTTTTTTTTTTTCTTTTTTTTTTTTTTTTTTTACTTTTTTTTTTTTTATTGTTGCTTACACTGTATTGTGTAGTACAGTTTTATAGGCGCTGGGAATTCCCCCCACCCCTCCCCATACCCCTCCCCCCATGGTGGATTCCTCCACCTTGCTGCATAACCATAGTTCAAGTTCAGTTGAGATTCATTGCTTGCAAACACATGCCTAGCATAAAGTTCAGCGTCTTATTGTCCAGATAAGTTCAGTGGCCTCCTGGGGAGACCTTCTATGGTCTGAAGATAGGTCTAACAGAGTAAAGATCCGGTCAGTTAAAAGCCCCAACAAGGCCTCAGTATCAATATACAACATTATGGAATTAATTGACATAGTATTGGGTAAACAATATGTTAAAAATAATGCAAGTTCCATTCTTCGAAACATCTGGGTTGAGACAGCATCAATGACACGTTCAAAAAATAACAAACAACCAAACAATAAATTACAGGTTAAATCAAGGCAAACATGTGGTATCTAATCTTTTGGGATTCACTCATTTCCCTTAGCATTATAGTTTCCAGTTGTGCCCATTTAGCCACAAAGAACTGCATTTTGTTTTTTTTAATAGCTGAGTAGTATTCCATGGAGTAGATGAACCAAAGCTTTCTTATCCAATCTTCTGCTGATGGGCATTTCGGTTGCTTCCATGTTTTTGCAATTACTGATTGTGCTGCAATGAACATAGGGATGCATGTTGGTTTGTCGTAAAACAGGTGTTTTGGATATATTCCTAGGAGTGCTATTGCTGGGTCATATGGTATGCAGATTTTGAGTTGTTTGAGTGTTCTCCAGACTGATTTCCATAAAGGCTGTACCAATTTGCAGCTCCACCAGCAGTGGAGTAGGGTTCCCTTTTCCCCGCATCCTCGCCAGCAAGCGTCGTTGGTGTTCTTGTTTATGTGGGCCAATCTTACTGGTGTTAGGTGGTACCTCATCGATGTTTTAATTTGGATTTCCCTTATTGCTAGGGAGCTGGAACATTTTTTCATATGTTTGTTTGCCATTTGGACTTGTTCCTTTGTGAAATGTTTGCCCATTTCCCGTGCCCATTTCTTGAGTGGCTTGTTTGTTTTGGTTTTTTGGTTGTTTTGAAGTTCTTTGTATATCCTGGAAATTAGCCCCCTATCGCCTATATCGTGTGCAAAGATCTTCTCCCACTCTGTGGGTTGCTTTTTTACTTTGTTGATTGTTTCCCTTGCTGTACAGAAGCTTCTTAGTTTGATGAGGTCCCATTTGTTTATTCTGTTCTCAACTGCTATTGCTTTTGGTGTCCTTCTTAGAAAGTCGGAACCTACTCCTAGGTCTTGCAGTGTATTTCCTACATTTTCTTGCAAGAGTTTGAAGGT